TGAGACATTGGCCTTTATGGCTCCCAAAACAGCTGTAGCCCCTTTCTGAGAGAGTGTAGTGGTGTTTGGCAGTGATGTTTGTATGCTGATGCCATGAAAAGGCTGAAATCAGAACTTAATAGCCTTGATGTGTCTATTAAGCAGGTATTCTTTTTTGCAGCGCTGGGCAGGCCGGGGATAGCTCCACCTAGTGTGTCCCCGTGAAGGGCTGAACATACAGCTTTTATACAGTTTAAATATACATATTCATACAGTTTCTGATAACTCATTAACATATATTGCTACCCACTCCTGCATATGCAATACAGTCTTTAGGTGGTTGTCAAGGGTCTCAGGTGGTCATTTTACTTCATCATGATAGTCTTCATCGGGGTGTCCTTTTGATGGGCTCCATTCAATTAACTCCTTATCTTTGCTAAGAGACCTCCTAGGCTGGTTCTGCCTATCTTAATGGCCTTTGGGAGTCCTGGGACGTTCCATCTTTGAAGATAAGAGCATCCTGTCCTTGGGGATAAGCTCCCCTCTTAGAATACCTTTGTCTCTCACCTTTGTTCTCCCACTGATTCTGCTTGCTCAAGCATATTAAGTCTCCTACATACCAGCTAAAACTACAGTTCTGGCTATAAATATGACTCCAGCTAAAACCACGGCTTCAATGCAAACAAGAGAATCTGGATGCTGTAGGCACAGTTTTTCCTTGTTGCTTTGTTTCTGAACTGCCATAGTTCTCTCTGTAAAATCATAGATTTATTTTTTTCTCTTTTCTTTTTTTCCGAAGCTCAGGAGGACTGTGGGAAAGGTGCACTTTCAGGTGCTTGTTACTGCCAACTTTGCTCTTTTGAGCACTCCTACACCATTCTAGCCAGTCATTGGCTTAGATAATGGTATAGAATCAAACTGAGTAACTCAGTTTTAAAAGAAGGCTGTGCTGGGCAGATGTGTTTTGACTTGATATATCTGTTTGTATTTATGTTTTGATCTAGAAAGGAATTGTCTGAAGTAAACAAAATGGACAAAAGTCAACCTGAAGTAAACTGATACAAATGAAATGAAAGCTGGGATTGTTTCAGTTATATAAACAAGTTAAAACCATTGAGCATACTAAGTAGGAAGTGTTGGCCTTGGAAAGGATGTCCTGACCTGATTAAATTCTCTGTGTTTACTTGTTACTTTGTGCACATCCAGGAAGAGTGAAGCAACCATTTGGGGATGAGTGGAATTCGTTTTGCTCAGAGGCACAGAATTTCTGATAGCGCTCGTTTATTGCAGTCTTGCATTCCTTGTTAATCTCTTTCTGTCTTCATCACTCTCCACCTCTTCAGTTCCTTCTCCATCTTTCAGATCTCTTGCAGCCTCCTCTTTGTTTTGAAAGGCTTCATGAAAAGTACATCTGTTGTGGGATCTCTGCATACAATTCTGTAGTAGGAAATTCTCACCCTTGGAGGTGATTAAAAGTTTGCAGAGCTCTCTTTAATGATACAGCAGAGGAGATTGACTGTGTTATTCTGTGCTGCAGGATAATTCCAGGAGTATGTTAATGCCACTAGGCAATAAAAGGTTTTATATATGTTGAACAGTATTTCACAAGCAAGTCCTTTCAAATTAGAGTGGAACGTGGGTTCTGGAATAGGAAAGACTTAATTTACAAAGAAATAAAACCTGCTTTGAACAAAGCAAGGGCAGTGAGGCTTTAACCTTACCTTGTAATTCAAGCTGTAAAACTTTATGGATTTGATTTGAACTGCTGGAAAGTGTGTTCCCTCCTCAGTGTTACAAATACCAAATGACATCCTGAGGTCTAGAGGTGGTATGTTGTTGCAGTGATTTTCTGGTAGCAGAATCCTCTGATACCTGGCCTGACAGATTCCTTTGTGTAGAATCCGCTCTGATCTAGGTTCCTGTAGAGTGTGGTCAAGTTACCTTTTTATGTTGTTTATTCAAGAGAGAATTATTACCAGCATTGTTTTCTAGTGAAAGTAGCTGAAGCTTGCTTCCTGCTTTTTATTCAGCATTTCTTCTTTTTGAAAAAAGAAGTGCTTTAAAAAAGAGAAAACGTGCACTGTGCCCCTTGTTTGTGCTGGTCTGAGTCAGTCACCTCCACAGTGATCTGCCTGCAGGTAATTTCTGTAGTTTGTGGAGTTTCCATGTGGTCTGCAGGTCTTGTTCACACTCTCCCCTGCTGTGTCCTCTAATCACCACTTGTTTCGTGTGCCACATGCGACTGTGCTGGCAGGCTCCAGGAACTGGGGCTGCTGCCTGTGTGTGCTGGTAACATGTTCTCTGGATAAGTGTCATCTCCAAGATGTGTTGGTATGAAGGTCCTGGGTCCCAGGAAATGATGAGGGGTGCTTAGCTGTTTTGTCTGACAGGAGGGACATTTGTCATACCTGGAATATAAGAGAATTGTGTGAGTCCTGCTGGATTGGCACTGGACATCACAAGGTAGAGCAGTTTGGCTTGTTGGTCCATAACTGGCACTGGGGTGTGGTCCCTGTAACAAATTTTGCTGATGTGTGCTTTACCTGTGTGGACTTGGCTGATTTGCTGAAAATCTTCGCTGGGAGCAAAATGAATTTGTGATGCGGATGAATGGGGTGCTGGTGCCAACAACACCCAGTTTGCTTGTATGGGAGGCTGGAGCTGGCTTTGATTTCCAGCTCGGCTGCTAGCATTCTGGGGGACCTTGGGGTGTCACCTGTTGGGTTTTGGTTTACCCTATCCCAAGACAGGCATGATGGTACTGACCTTGATGAGTACAGTGCTTTCAGATCTGCTAAAAGGTGTTGTTTGACGTATTGCTGCTTTGTGACAAAAGCCTACCGAAGGGTGTGACAGTTCAGGGAGTCTGTGCGATTAATAAATACAGGTAGACAGGTAAATTTAGGTTCTGAACAGTATCGTAATAACCGAGTTACCTATGTTTGAGGTAAGTGGTGAAGTTTTCTGCTGGCAAAACCTATTAAGATTATTTTTGCCTTGCTCTGTTTTGTGGGTTATGATCTAGAAAATATCACTCAACTGTTATCTGCTCTTCAAAGGACTTAAGATGCTGATGTCAATCTTTGTTTCTCCTTGTCCCACCCTGTCTCACAATCGTTTGTGACTTTTGGCTTTCTGCCATGTGTATCCAAGTAGTTGCTGAGAAATGGTGCGTGACTCTGCAAAGAGAAGCAGACTTTGAAGTCATCTTCTGACTTGGATATCCCTGAAATTTCAGTGGGCTGGATTTGAGATCTGGAGGGGATGCTTCTGTCTCACAGCTCCTTCATCCTGAGGATTAAGAACATCAGTTGTTTGTCCAAACAACCCACTGTTTGTCCAAAGCTGAACTTGCTCTGCTACTTGCAATTTTTCCCCTTTCAGGGAATGCTGGCAGTCAGCATTAGCATTTTCATAGGCTAACTGCATTAAGAGTGTTTGTAGTGCTTCCTCATTGTCTATCTGACGAGTTAAAGCAGTCTGCAGTCTATCAATAAATGTAACATAAGGTTCTTGCGGAGCCTGCCGGTCTGCAGTCTATCAATAAATGTAACATAAGGTTCTGGGTGCCCCTGCCGTATCGCTGCAAAAGATAATTGCCGTACCCCTACTTCAGGGACACGTCTCAAACTTTTCACTGCTAATATAGTTACTTGTTGTAAGATGGGCCTTGCTAAATTTGCTTGAGCTTGCGGCGTGTCATATTGTCCTTGTCCCATATATTCTGCCGTACAACCTGGGGTTAAATTTGCAATATTATCCATAGTCTGAACCGTGGCAAATTCTCTATACTCTGCCCACCAAACAGGATATTGTGCTGCACTCAGAAGCAATCTCATCAGAGATTTCCAATCATATGGTGTCATAGTATGAGACTCTCCAATTGTTTGCAACAAATTCCTGGTATAATTATTCTGCAGCCCATATTCTCGAATGGCCTTCCGTACTTCTTTAACAACCTCATACGTGAATTACTGATATTCAGGCGGTCGGTTTGGCTGATAGCAGCACAGGACATGCCATCCACATAGTGAAATCGCCTTTCTGAATAGCTGCCTCCTTTATTTTCTCAACAACAGATTTATAGGAAGGTGCCAACACAGACATCACAGGACGCTCTAAAAATTCTGTTAGGGATGGCTCTGCCGCTGCATTTGGTAGTGCCGCTCGAGCAATTGTTGCAGGTGGATTTGAAATGCTGATAGGAGGGGGCAGCCGTGATTTATCTTTCAGAATTTGTTCTGCTGTTGGAGATTCCACTGCCATCGTTTGAAGAGACTTTATAGATGGGTCTGACTCCTTTTCAGGATCAGTAGTATCAGGATCACATGAATCCACAGACACTTCGGGAGCCGAAGTTTGTCAGGTCCCTGTTTGGATGCTGTTTGTTGCGGAAGAGTTTGTCAGGTCCCTGCTTGGGTGCTGTCTTCAGCTGAGTCTTTTTCTTGTCAAGTTTCTGTCCGGGAGCCGTCTTCGGCTGAGTAGTTTATTTGTCGAGCCCCACGTTGGGCGCCATTTGCGACGGGCTGAAAGGCACGGACTCAGCTCTTGAGAGAAGCTAAGACAAAGTTTATTAGCAAGAAGCAGTATTTATGGGTTACAAACAGGAGACCAGACTATACAGTCAGAATTGTTATTCGCTCATGAGCTCCTAAATACTCTGAGCACACTGTGTAGATTTTTTTTTCCTCTGTTTGTAGTCTAATAATTACTCAAAGAAAGTGGAGTTTGCCCAAGATCAAACGGCAACGTTTGACAGTGATGTAATTGCAATTACTAGACTTCAGGCTTATGAAGAATTCAAGGACCTGGCAACATGTACACATTTTCAGAATTATGTCCTGGTGGTGTATCTGAAATTAGTACGTTGGTCAGAAAGAGGTTAGGAGCAATTCAGTATTCTTGACACGATAACTAAGAATCACAATCTTCTCTGAGTGTAAGTCGACAGTCGTCGGATGTCCTGTGAACTTTTTTTTCAATTTGGCAAAAGTTACGATTTTTTTCTTTCTTTTTTACAGCAATGCTGAGTGACAATAACTCTGTGAAGCCGAGAAGTGATTGTTCACCTCCTGTGCAGTGGTGTAAGGTGGATGCACATGAAGATGAGAAGACCAAGTCGGTTTTTAAAAGGTACTTGCAAGTAAGTGTCATTGTCACAGCACCATAGAGATCAGTTGCTCTCCCCCTAGGCAGAGTGGTTACAAAAAGGGTGCAAAAATCAAGGGATGAGATTGCCACAGGAACTGACTGGAGGGTTAGGGACACAGCTTTTCCTAGGGCACTCAAAATGCTTTGGGGAGCCTAGGCTTTCTTGTAGAAGCTCCCAACTCAATGTGAGACTTTGCTTACAAGTATTTCCAGCCTTTTTTGTATCTAGACGTGTAACAATGTTAACACTCTTGTACAGTCTAATAACTGAAGAAACTGAAGGGCAGTGGGTATTTAGTGGGTATTTTGGGGAGGTGTCTTTCATCGTTAATTTACAAAGGCTGCTGGAATGCTCTATAACAAAATCTTACTCTATTGTTTGTAGTTTGACATCAAATTAGAATTAATGAGTGTGTGTTAGTGTCCTTCCAGAACTGCATTTTAAACCGAAGAAGTTCACTACTGTGATGCCTCTCTGCCACATGATTCTTTAGGTCTTAAGTGTAAAAAAAAAAACAAGGCCAAACTATTATATCCACTCATGTTTTGAGCACTGAATGGTGCAGCCCCAGCTGAATCTAGACATACTTGATAAACTTCTGAGAATGAGAACGAGCCTCATTCGTCTGCTGCAAATGCCCTGTTTTCTGCCGGCTGGCTGATTTCCAGGGGCTGCAGCCTGACATGCTAATGAAGGTTTTAGACTCAGTTATCAGTGCAAAATTCAGTCTAGTTAAATCAAATGCTAGAACAGTGTTGCTTTTCCAGTGGTCACCTTGTCTACAGCATATACTGCAAACCAAGTGCCACGATTGCATTTATTAGTCTATGTGGTACAAGCATTTAAAAAAAAAAAATCTTGGAAACTTGTATTAACTTCATCTGGAAAAGTTTCAAGAAGCACTGAACACTCGGTAGGTTGTATATTTTTTAAAGACATTTTAATAAATGTCCAGTCCTTAGGAGACCATAGGAAATGAAAATTAATAATGAAGTTCAAACTACAAACTTGAGCGACAGCCACAGCTCTAACCTAGTAATGATGCATTTTTTTCTGAGAGGTAAGATACGGAATGAACCAGGTGAGTATTTGGAGATCAACAGTGAGATTCCTTAGGAATGAGAAAATAGTAGATCAAAAGTATGGATAGTCTGTATTGCTTGATTTTTAAAGTTGGGCATCTTTTGTGTGTTTTTGTTTCCTCTGTGTGTTTTAGGAGTGTCAATAACTAAATTAGGCTTCTCAATGTAAACCAGAGCATCTAAATTCTGTGTTCTGTCCTGCCAGTGAATTGAAAGCTTTGTTTGTGAGTGATGGCCATTGACCCCAAATACTGTAATTTCAAGTTCTGTTGTTTGCGTGAAAATGCGTATTTCAAAATAGAGTTTCCCTTTAAAGTAGGAAAGCAAAAGTCACTTTTGGTTTCTTTATGTGAGGAGAGCTGTTTGATGCATCAGAGATGTGTTTAAGATATATGATGCAGGCATAGAACTGAAGAAATCGGTGTGTCAGTGTGCAACATTTTCATTATCAAAGCATCTAAATATATTTGTACTTTCCTGCAGATAGCTCTGAAGATCTGTGAAAGATTGACAGTGAAAACAAAAGTTTTTCTTGGTTTGAATGAAATGCAAGTATTCACTTGGAGTTCTTCAACTGTCTTAGATTTGTTAAAAAATAGTCATTTAACAGTTAATCTTTTTTTCCCAGCAACCTATTATTTTTTCCCCTTCTTTGCTAACCTTACATTCTCCTGTTTGTTTTTAGACTTCTTGCACTGTTTGTGGTTGGAGGGTGCTTCCTTTATATCCTCAAATTACATTTTGGCCCTGGAGAATGTGACAGAACAAAAGTGGACCCCGATCGTGTAAGGGTAGGTATTTTTTTGGCTTTTGTTCTCTTTAACTTGGCTTAAAATGTTATTAATTGACAATATAAGACTTTTAATGATCTATTTAAAAAAACTCCACTAGAATGTTGAACTTATCCTGTGAGAGGAAATATATTTCACTTCATGCCGTAGAACTTCTGGGTTTTGTTCTTGTGGAGTGACAATAGAAGTGCATAGAGAAAATGGGTTTTTTAGGGTAAATGAGGTAACTGTGGCTGTTGAGACTAACATCTGAAATGGCATCATACTATGGTGTAGAAAATTGATGCAAATGACAAGTAACATAAACCAAAGAACAAGTAACAAGACACTCTCCATGATATTTGAAAGTCAGGTGTCATGGCAGATATCATGGCAGTCAGGTGAAGTCCCTGGTGACTGGAAGAAGGGAAACATTGCACTCAGCTCTGCAAAGGGTACAAAGGAAGACCCTGGGAACTACTGACTGGTCAGCCTCACCTCTGTGCCTGGCAAGATGATGGAATAGATCCTCCTGGAAGCTCTGCTAAGGCACCTGGAGGACAGGGAGGTGATTTGAGACAGCCAGCATGGCTTCACCAAGGGCAAGTCCTGCCTGACTGACCTAGTGGCTTTCTACTACGGAGGGACTACATCTTTGGACAAGGGAAGAGAAATGGATGGCATCTATCTGGATTCTACAAGGCCTTTGATGCAGTCTCCTGCAACATCCTTATCTCTAAGATGGAGGTGGGCAGATTTGATAGGTGGGCTGTTTGGTGGATAAAGAATTGGTTGGGTAGGGGTCAATGGCTCGATGTCCAGACGTGGTGTCCTTCAGGGGCTGTGATGGGACCAGCGCTGTTTCATATCTTCATCAGTGGCATAGAAAGTGGGATTGAGTGCACCCTCGGCAAGTTTGCAGATGACACCAAGCTGAGTGGTGTGGCTGACATGCCAGAGGGAGAGGATGTCCTCCAGAGGGACCTGGACAAGCTGGAGAAGTGGGCCCATGTGATCCTCATGAGGTTCAACAAGGCCAAGTGCAAGGTCCTGCGTGTGGGTTAGAGCAATCTACATTATCAATACAGGCTGGGGGATGAAGTAACAGAGAGCAGCCCTGCAGAAAAGGACTTGGGGGTCCTGGTAGACAAAAAGCTGGACATGAGCCAGCAAGGTGTGCTTCGCAGCCCAGAAGGCCAGTCCCATCCTGGGCTGCATCAAAAGCAGCGTGGCCAGCAGGTCAAGAGAGGTGACTCTGCCCCTCTGCTCAGCTCTGCTTTATTGAGACCTCCCCTGGAGTAATGTGTCCAACTCTGGAGCCCTCAACATAAGAAGGACGTGGAGCTGTTGGAGCAGGTCCAGAGGAGGCCACAAAAATGATCAAAGGGCTGGAGCACCTCTCCTACGAGGACAGGCTGAGACAGTTTTGGCTCTTCAGCCTGGAGAAGACTCTGGGGAAACCTTATAGCAGCCTTCCAGTACCTGAAGGGGGCAACAGGAAAGCTGGGGAGGGACTATTTACAAGGGAGTGTAGTGATAGGACAAGGCGCAACAGTTTTAAGCTAGATCAGGTAGATTTAGATTAGACATTAGGAAGAAGTTCTTTACAAGAAGGATGGTGAAACACTGAAACAGGTTGCCCAGAGAGGGAGAGGAGGCTCCCATCCCTGGACACATTCAAGATTGGGTTGGAAGGGGCTCTGATCAACCTAATCTAGTTAAAAATGGCCCTGCTCGCTGCAGGGGGGTTAAACAAGATGACCTTTAAAGGTCCCTTCCAAACCAATGAATTCTATGATTCTATGAACATACTGGGGAGGGGGGTGGGAAACAAAAGCCCCAAACCCAACAACACACAAACCCAAAGGTTTGTTTTTACCTAAGCTGGTTTGCTAATCTACTTTGCCTTGTAGTTGCTCAGATGCTTTTGGAATCACAGGGCAAATGTGCAAGAAGGTGCAGATCTTTGTTCATTTATTTATTTAAGGTAGCAGGTACTTACTGCGGTTACAATTTTACATGTGACTTTTAAGCTGGTGTAACGGATGCTGATAATGCTTTCACTTAATTCTTGATGACGGTTCTCTGCCTTTGATACTTAACCTGTTTGCTCTTTGTAACAGTACTTACCTTGGCTTAAGAGTGGTTACATTTCTGTCATTGAATGTCTCAAGGCGAAGCCACAGGTGTTGTTTCCTTTTGACTAGTAAGCAAGTCCAGGCTGCAGTTTCACAGAATTTTTACCCACTTGATGTGCCTCTGGTAAAATCCTACCACGGACAGAACTTGGGTCACTCAATTGAGCAGCAGAGTAGAACTCTGCTTTCTGCTGAATTAAATGGGTAGAAGTACATCTAGATTTTTTTAATCTATTCATTAAAGTAACAGTACAAATGTTCTCAAATGGCTTATTTTCACTTATCACTTGCCAGCTAATTTATTCTTTAGAAAATCTCCTATCCAGGTTTAAGGCTTGGGTGGAAAGAAGTTCCTTTGCAGGTTTTCACCCTGCACTGATTAGTATCTGTGTTGCAATGAATGCTTTAAAAGGTCTTGTATTTTCATGTTTAAGCTTTCGTTATAAATCCCTTTGCTTGCTAAACTGCTAGTGGGCTGCATTAGGAGGGCTTTCTATGTTTCTGAAGCTGGCTTTCCTCACTGAAAATCCTGTATATTTTGTTCTAGAGAGCACAACAGTATGCCGATGCTGTGTTGCAGGAACAGTGCCGACCTTCTTATGTGAAGGAAGAAATGCGGAGGTTATTTGCAGATAAATACAGCAAGGACTTATCTCCCTTTGTAAGAAAAAATATAAATGAAGATGAGGCTTTGTTTAAATACGAACCTCCTTTTGGATTTCACAAATTCTTTGATAAGCTTAAAAATCTTCTTGAACTCTTACCTGAGCATGATTTACCAGAAGATTTGAAGTCGAAACACTGTAAGCGCTGTGTTGTTGTTGGCAGCGGTGGAATTCTTCGTGGATCAGAACTGGGTCGCTTACTGAATCAATTTGATATTGTTATAAGGTACGAGTCTTCCATTTAAGGATCGAAGCTGCTTCTGCTTTATGAGCTGACTTTGTTTTTAAGGAGAAAGTATCTCTGACGCTTATGCACCTTAAGACAATTTCTGAAAGTGCTTTTTGAGAAATTTACTAATGACTTGAAGTCTGGTGAACATGACAACTTATTTGCTCCCAAGATGGGAATTCACTGTGATGATTTGTGGACTTCAGATACAGAAGAAACATGGGCAGAAATCACATCAAAACCAGTAAAATCATAGACAAGCAGACAGTCCTTTTTTTTTTTTTTTTCCCCTCCCCCCCCCAAAAACCGAAAAAAAAAAAAACAAACAGGCCTTCCTTTTTTTTTTTCCCCCCCCCCCCCCCCCCCATTCATATATTTGTGCTTCCAGAGGTAGGCTTTAGGACTCACCTCTGCCTTTTCCCCCTTGGTTAGTTCAGATGTGTATTTGAAGGATTTTTATCGCACAATAAACGGTTTTCAAACACAATAAAATTTAATTGGTGTTTCAGTATACAGTTTGCTTACACACTATATAACATGCTTATCTTTCCTTGTCTTTACAAGATCAGTGCAGACTTTCTGTGATTACCTGTGTTTTCTAATGTCTTAATTAAATGAATACATGTTCTGTATTCATGCCCTCTGAACATGACTGTTTGAATTCTTCTTCTTTGGATTTTGAATCATGTAAAGTCACAAGTACCTTTAGTACACGCGTTTTCCCAAGTTGTTTTGTAAACTAAGACTGCTCCTCTTAAAAAGGGAAGATTTGATTCATTGAATCAATAGCTTGTATACAAAGGTAAGCAAAGCTGTTGGCATGTGGAGGGGCAGAGAACTTGCACTGACTGTTTTCTGAAATTAGGACCGGAAACGTAAAGGTGGCTTTTTGCTGGACTTTGTTCTGAGCTCTGATGGAGCTGGATGATGATATTCTTGTCAGCGGTGTATTTGCATCTGAAGCTTTTGGTGAGCTGGAATGGTGTAAACCCACAGGATGTGTTACGTTGCACTGAAGGCATAATTTGAATGCCTTTCAGCGTGTAGTACTCGTATGTGTGTACATATATATATATTTATACATATATATATAAAAGATAATGCAGGCAACTTCCTGTGTATTTTCTTTCCCTTCTTTTAAGCCTCTCTGACTTGGCGCCAGGCAATGAATACAAAATTCTGCAATGCTGTTCTAACTTGCTTTTCTAGTCAAGCTTTTCTTTTTGAAGTTTTGCACTTGTGCCAGTTAATCCAGAAATAGAACTGGCTTCCTCTCAAAGATAAACGGTGGATGAGCATGTGAGGCGAGGGACATGGAGATACTGAGAGAACACTTCACTCTGCTCTGTTAAATATGTGGGCCAAATAAAAGTTCTTTGATTGGTGTCTGATATTCTAATGAGATTGTAACCCATGTTTATTAAATGTAGTTTTTCTCCATTGTGGTGTGTGGGTTTTTGAATTTGATTTTTATTTTTTCATTAGGTTAAATGATGCACCGGTTCAAGGATACACAGATCATGTTGGTAACAAAACAACTATACGGATGACTTACCCAGAAGGAGCTCCCCTTTCTGAACACGAGTATCCTCCTGCTAGCCTGTTTGTGGCTGTTTTGTTTAAAAGTGTTGATTTCAATTGGCTGCAAGCAATGGTGAAAAACGAAACCTTGGTATGTAATGTGGTGGTGTAATGTATGTGTGATTTTTGGTTGTGTGTTTCTAATGCTTGAGAAGCTGACCGATGTGTTACTTCCTGTTTTATTGTAGTGAGAATCTTTTATGTAATTTTCTTGGGCTTTTTTTAGCTCCGTCTCCTGGTTACAATTGGTCCCAGCATTCACGCTGAAGCTGCATGCTGACAGTAATGCTTTTTTTTTTTTCCTGCAGATATTGGTGGTTTGCACCAAGCTACATGATATACCGAGTGTTTACTATAGCAGAATTTATTTCACGTTAGGTTTAAGCGAGTTGTTCAAGTCTGCAGAGCCTGAAATAGAAGTGAGGTTTCTGGCTGCCAGTCCATGTTTTCTGAACAGCTGAAATCTGTGCTGCTACAATAGGCATACAGGCAGTGGTTCCAAAATTAAGAGGTTGTCTATTTCTCACTGAATATGTAAAGTGCAGAGATTCCTAAGAAACTGCTAGAAGGGCTCCAAGTTTCCAAACTCTCTTTAAATTGGTGGTTTTCACCTCATTCAATCTTCAGGCAGATAATTTCTGCAAGTGAAAACCAGTAGCTGGGTTTCCCTGACCACAGACTGAAAACAAGTGCCCTGAATTATTGAGAGAGATATAGAAGAAGACCTGCCAAGTTTTTTAAGAGTTTGATACATACTAGTTTAGATAGTTCAAGTTCTCTAGTTAACTTGGTGATCTTTTTTTAATTTTTTTTTTTATTTTTCCCCAATCTGAGACCATATGGAAAGGTCTATTTAATATTGACTATGACTGTGTGTGCAGGCATATTGCTTTATTTTGAATAACCTGTGTGTGTTTTGTAGAGGGGAGATTTTCCTGAATGCATAAATTTGTACAAATTTAAGAACTTCTGCTCCCTGTTTTGTTTTTTTTTTGTGGTTGTAGGGCATTTTTTGTTTGTTTTTTACCAGGGCAACACACTGTTAGTCTATGACCTTTCCTGCAGCAGTGTGCCAATTTTGATAACCAGCAGCTTGAGCCGACTCCCTAACTTCCTTGTTTTACAAAGTATCTGACTATTTCTGAGGTTTGGTTTTGAAGAATGACTAGTACAAGGATAGCTTTCTGTATTAAAACTGGGGTTTTTGTGGATTGAAAAGCAGGATTTCTTTCTGGCATCTACAACATCCCCTGTTAGTAACAAGATTGAAGTATGTGCTTTTTGAAGAGCACGGCTTAGGAGGGCATCTGCTCACTCCTATCTCCTTCCTTGCTCTGGTGTCTTTGGTGCAGGGAGCCAGTCTTGGGAACTGATTTGGGAGCAGGAATACTGGAAAGAGTCCACTGAAGGGTCACGAAGATGCTTGAGGGACTGGAGAAAAGCTGAGGGAGCTGGGGCTGTTCAGCCTAGATAAGAGAACACTCGGGGAAATCTTACTAGTATACATAAATACCCGAGGGGAGGGTGCAAAAGGGATGGAGCCAGGCAACTTTTGGTGGTGCTCAGTGACAGAACCAGAGGCACAAACCGAAACATGCAGGAGGATCCCTCTGAACATCAGGAATTTTATTTTTTTTTAACTGTGATGGTGACCAAGTACCTGTGCAGGTTGCCCAGAGAAGCTGTGGAGTCTTCATCCTTGGAGATAACTCAGAAGCCTTCTGGATGTGGTGCTGGCCAACTGGCTCTAGGTGGCCTCGCTTGAGAAGGAGGGTTGGACCAGATGATCTCCAGAGGTCCCTTCCAATCATCACTCTGTCATTCTGCGAACTGAGAACATACTTCTCTTTTCAAATACTAGGCTTTCAGTTGGATCTGCTGTCTGTACAGTGCTGGTACTTCAGTAAACTGATTGGGAGCACAGGTAGGAACATGGGACCACAGCAGCCTAGATTGGATCGATCTGCTGGAGGGTAGAAAGGCTCTACAGAGGGACCTGGATGGACTGGATCGATGGGCCCAGGCCAACTGGATGCAATTCAATAGAGACAAGCGTCCCTCTGTACTCAGCACTGGTGAGGCCGCACCTTGGGTATTGTGTTCAGTTTTGGGCACCTCCGTATAGGAGAGATCTCGAGGTGTTGGAGCGAGTGCAGAGGAGGGCAACAAAGCTGGTGAAGGGCCTGGAGAACAGACCTTATGAGGAGCGATTGAGGGAGCTGGGTCTGCTCAGTTTGACGAAGAGGAGGCTGAGGGGGGATCTCATCATGCTCTACAATTACTTGAAAGGACATTGTAGAGAGGTTGGTGCTGGTCTCTTCTCACAGGGAATTAGGAACAGAACCAGGGGGAATGGTTGCAGGTTGCAACAGGGCAGGTTTAGGCTGGACATTAGGAAGAAATTCTTCACGGAAAGAGTAGTCAGACACTGGAACAGACTGCCTGGGGAGGTGGTTGAGTCGGCATCCCTGGATGTGTTCAAGTGTCGTTTAGATGTGGTGCTGGGTGATATGGTTTAGGGGTGAACTTGTAGTGTAGGGTCACTGGTTGGACTCGATGATCCCAAGGGTCTTTTCCAACTGGAATTGTTCTATGATTCTGCGAATTTGAGCTGCTACAGAGTTTTATCTTAAGGCCTGTTTAGGAAAATACAGGTTTATGTTGCAGCTATATCAGCTTCAGCATTTGCTTAGTGTTACCCATTATATGGAAGACTTGCAAAATTAACCTGATGTAATATTGTTTTTTCCATTAGCACGTATCTAATTGACTGCAGGTGACATAAGATTGGACTCGAGCTTGTCGAGTCGTGTGTAAATCCTCTTCTGAAGTGTTAGATTTGTCACTGCAGATGCTGTCAAACAGCAGCTGTTCAATTCAAAGCCTGTGCAAAATTGTTTTAGATCTAGTGCTTGCTTCAGAATTCCTGGTTAACGTTTGTGGGAATCTGCACTTCCCTGTCTTGTTAGTGCTGCCTGCTCAGTTGTGCTGGGGAAGGTCCAAAGAACCTGGAGATGCTGGTGGATATGTTGACTGCTTAAACAGAAAATGCAGTCAAAATATTCAGAATAAACAACTCGTCCTTCTGCTGTCCTCTCTGCAATTCCAAATACTTGGATGATTTTTTCCTCTTTTGGGTCAGTCACTTGAGCTGTACACTGGTATTCCTGAACAACCTTAGCTATAAACTGTTTGCTGAATTTCTCAGAATCACCGATGGATTCTATAACTTGTGTACTGTGCCTGCCATATGCTTTGTAGTCTCAAAGCTGACCTTTGCTAAACTATTTTTCTTCCTTCTTTTAGCCTCTGTGGGTGCGGCTCTTCTTTTGGAAGGAGGTTGCAGAGAAAATTCCATTTACGTCAAAGCAGTTTCGGATTCTGAATCCAGTCATCATCAAAGAGATAGCTTTGGACATTTTACAATTTCCTGAACCTCGATCAAAATTCTGGGGTTGGGATAAGGTAAGAGGTTTCCTTTTGGGGGAAGGCGACTATAAAATATCAAGTGAAATAAGAAACTGAAAAAGTTTTGGGCTCTTCCTTCATGTAGCTTCTCTGTGCAGTTTCAGAGCTGGTCTCAAGTTGCAACAAAATTAACATGCTCTCAGAAGACTCTTGTGTTTTCGTGTATAAAATCAAAATAGGATTTCAGCTCGCCTCTTTCAGATGAGGCATTATTCCTGTGCATGTTGATGTGAAGTGGCCTGTTATGCAAAGCATTCAGATGCAGCGAGACATAAATCCGTTTCAGTAGCATCGCGTCATTGTGCCTGGTGTTAAATATTCAAAACAGACATTTGATGCATGTTAAGAACAGCCCTGTTAAGTCAAAGCAGGAATCAGCTATAGACAGATGTGTCTCCAGCTGCAGAGAGAGCGTGGAAACCAGGCCGGTGTAAAGCAGCCTTCCAAGCTGTTGGAATTGGGATCTATGCCAGCATGCTCAATAGCAGCTGATGGGTATATCCTTCCTCTTTGTCCTTTGCTCCAGCAATAGTATGGAGTGATTAACTGTCCTATTTAATTATACCCTGCATTCTTGTTATTTTAACTATTTGTTTGAGAAACCAGATGTCACTGGTTCTCTTGAACTATGAAAAATCCTGAATAACTATCATCTTTCTACCTTTTGTGTGAAAGCATTTAATGGTGGCATTATTGCACAAATTTTGAAGGATTTTCTTACATTTACTTATCAAAATTATGCAACATACCAAGTTGTGTGTCTGCTAGTTGAATTGTAGTATACATGCCTTCCTCACAGGTTGTTCAGTGAAAAGTCATGTTCCGAAGAATACTCTTAGAGACCCTGTTGTTCAAGACTGGAGTAAGCATGCTTCAAGAAATGTCTTGTCAGGAGTTGAGTGTGTGGAGTTGAGGCTTTGCTTGTAGTTTATCTACATAGTAATAGGACATCTTGTCTTCACAGAAAAAAAAATCGGTATTGACAGCCAAAAGCCTTGTTAAAGGCAGTTACTCAAATTGTATTAGCATTTGGTATTGAAGTTTTTAGTTTTACTTGAGCATGTAACTGAGGTTTAGTTTTAGTTGTAAAAGATCTTAGTTTTAGTTGTTTCACTGATTTCACTTTTAAGTGAGGAGAATTGACAAAGCTGTTCAATTTTCTGAAATGTTTATGAAAACTAATAAAGGTGAATATGTTTGATTTCAGCAGGCTTCATTTTTCCCTCTTTTTATTTTAGAATGTACCTACAATTGGGGTCACAGCGGTTGTTCTGGCCACACATTTATGTGACGAAGTGAGCTTGGCAGGATTTGGCTATGACCTCGATCAGCCCAGCACACCTTTGCACTATTACAACAACCTCTGCATGGCTGCCATGAATGGACAAACGATGCACAATGTGACGAGTGAAACAAAATTCCTGCAAAAACTGGTCAAACAAAAAGTTGTCAAAGACCTCACTGGTGGGATATATTGTGAATTCTGCAGCAAAGACAGCTAGTGATTCAAGCGCAGCGTGGTTTGGATTTGTTAAATTTCCAGAGGTTCACTGGAACAACCTTTTCACTGTCTTAGGTAGTTCTTTAAACTGTGTATAAAATGGACGTGGAACCTCTGCTGCCTCTTTTTTTTTCTAGTGTCAAGTTCAATTTGTTGGACTTCTGTTTTGATGTCAGATTTTACTTTGCACATTTTTTTTGTGAATAACAATTTGAATGCAACTTGGAATTAAAAGAGAACCATTTAAGACAGTTCATGTTTTAAGTTGTCAGAAGAAAAGCAGAGTTTGTGTTTTCAGGTGCACGTGGTACGCACAACACTAGCCTGAGTTGTCTGCCAGCATATGAGGGTTATTTGCCGCTGAACTATTGTTTTTGTTGATCCAGTTTTTTGGGGCGTGACTTCTTTTCATCCATGCCATGAAAAGAAAGGTATATGCTTCTCGTGTCTTACATTTCATGCAACTTGAGCATTGTGTTTCCCCCTCAAATGTTTAAAATCTTTTGGGTTTGTGCCAAAATTTTGGAGGGCGGTGGAGGGGGAGAGTATGGAAGTGGAGATGAAGGAAAACTGTTGTGGCAACAACCGAATAGCGAGTACTTTGGGGTTTGTGATTAATATTAAAAATCATTGATGCTTTAATGTATTGGATTAGAATTCGGCTTTATCATGAGACGTGGTTGGGCACAGGGCACGCTATAAGAAGATTTAACCAGTAGGAGATTTTTGCCTGAACCACATCATTTGTCACTTCCGTAACACCCAGATAAGTGTTTCCAACTAGTTGATTTGCAGCAGAGTTCAGCCACTCCAATTAAAGAAGTGACATTAATACAAATTCTGTCATTTTCTTGAGAGACTTGAGAGTTGCTGGTTCTAGGAAATGTTTTTTATGAATCTTCCATTTAGCAATAATAGAATCTACAACTAGGTTAAAATTTCCATTGTACTTGATGATCCTTAAGTAATTAATTACAGATATCATAACCCTAGTAGTTTACAATAATGATAACCCTTATGAACTCTAGTGTTGATTATTTATTTGAAGAGGAAGATAGAGCTGTTGGCTTTCCTGGATCAACTTTTAAGTCAGCAACTGGGGGAGCTTGTGTAAGTTAAGAAGAAATTCACCTGGAGAAAGTAGTATGATCTAGTAGCAAGCTAGATAACTGCTGAAAACAGCGTACTTCCAGCCTTTTTTTAATGGTCTTGTGACTGGAAATCAGTGCATTGCAAAAACTGGACTGCCGATCTGTAAGCAGGTTTTGATGCTGATTTTCATTTTGTTACTAGCAGAGTAGTGGGTATGACTGTGTTTGCACTGAGTAGTGTTGTTGCTTAGTCTACAGTATGTGAAAAACCTTGTCTGGGGAATGAAAGCTTGTTAGCAGATTGATCAGCAGTTGGCCTAGAAATGTTATTCATAATCATGGACTCTCCACACAGGGAGCATTTCCACTTAATGGGTGAAGATATGAATGTAGTTGTAGTTTAAATTTTCAGAATATTAATATGAGAAAGCAAAATTGGGTTTTTTTGTTTTGTTTTTTTTCCTCCCATGGAGAGAAGATCTAATGACTGATGAAGTTAGGATACAGGAACAGCAGACTGACTGCTGCTGTTGTAAAAGGCAATAATGACATCAGATCGTAAAGCTTAACTCTAAAGAAAGTTGTGGACCTCATTTTTCATAAGTCTTATGTACCTATATGTCATTGAAAGCCAGCAGCAAGATGGGAGTAAATTTGAAAATCTGATTCTTATCTCTAGCACTGTTTGTGTTTATAGCAATAGTTAATCTAACTTCTCCTCCTCCATGAAACACATTAATTTTTGTACTAGCAATAAATTTCTAGTCTTTTATCTTGTAAGAGTAATAGTTATATTGTTTAATTTAATAATATTTCATATGTGAAGAGTTTTATACAGATCGTCTTTTAGTTAATATATTAAAATGTGCTAATTATTTTCTCCTGGTATTTAAACTGGAAGCAAAGTACCTTAATTTCATTTGGTATGAGTGAAATTTTGGAAGAGTTCAGAACGTGTGCATTGGGAGGACACCCTGAATATGCCAAAAATACGTGTTTCAGAGCACTCGGTCCCTCACCAGTTTGCTTTAGCTGGTAATTTAAAAATAATTGGTTGATTAATGTAAATGCCAATAGCTTTTTGGAGGTGCTGTATTTACTGTCAAATTCTCAAATTTTGTTGATGAATGATTAGATTGTTTTCCCACCAGTCTTACGGCTTGTCCTAAAACCTTGTTCTCCGTGGTAGTTTATGCTGCATTGAATATGCCTGCACAGACTCAACCATCCGTGAAATGGCAGCAAAGTTCAGGTTGCAAAAAGCAATAAACTGATGAAACCACTTTCTATTTATGCATTTGTCTCACAGTCTGCGATTTGTTCTGCCTCCTTTATTAAGGGTTTTGCACGTCTTAGTGGTCCAATTCACAGTCTTGATGCAGTCCCAGGCACTCAAGAAGAGGGAACTTCCTGGCTGATGGTATATCTTTCTCTTTTCATTTAAGCCTTTTTATTACCTGTCTGTGGAGTTATATCTTTCTGGTACTTGGAAGAAAGAATCCGTCTCAACATTGACCATATCATACGCGTCAAGGATTTTGAAGTTAATGTGGATGTGAGTATTTCAGACTGGTTTATGGAACTGGCCTTAAATCCAGGGATGTGTGTCCTCCAGTGCTGGAGACAGACTGCAGCTTCAGTCTTGCTGTAGGTTCTTCATTTCCCAAGGAAGGATAACCTTGCAGGTTTTTAAAAAAAACAAAACACAAAAAAGTCCTGCCTGTTGGGCTTGAGATAATTAACTCCAGCAAAACTGGGGTATGATATTTAAAAATGCCAACGATGGAAATCTAGACACTGTTGAAGAAACCGTTGCCTGAAGTGATATGTGACCAGATCCAAACATGAATTAAAGGGTGAATGTGAAGAGGGACAGCTGAGCCCTGCTGAGAAATGCAACCCCTTTGTTCTGCAGCCACCCAACAGTGGAAATGTTTACCTTCTTGCTGTAGCACAGATCATGACCTGAAAGTTCCCGAAGCTCTTGAGAGTTATTTTTGTAGACAGCTGGAGGACAAAGTTTGAGCAGTTCAGCATCAGCCTTGCCCTGTGTCTCATGAGGTGTTGGAAGGTAGGTGACCCACTCATCCAGTCCCTGAGGGGCTTGGTCACACCACATGTAAAGCTCCCTGTGTGTCACCTTTCAGAGGCACACAAAAAGTGCTTTTCTTGCTACAACCAGAGGTTCCTGTGCTGCCTATGGGGTTATTTCCTTTATTTTCCCTAAAACAGCCCTGTGAGCAGGAACAAAAGCATCCACCCCTGTGTCCAGCTTTAGTGTGAATCATAAACATGGGTGTTGCCTGTCTACATTTCAGCGTGTCCCCAGCTGAAGGGGATGTGGGTCACAAGGTGAGCGTTTTTAACATTTCACCAAAATTTCACACAATTTATACGTATATAGAATCTTCTCCACCATTCCTGGGAAGGAGCTGTGGTGGCTCATAGCTCTGGGTTGGTCAGTGCATCGCTTTTGATGGACCTCTGTGCTGCCGTGAAGGAATTCCGCTCAAACTCTGCCTTTATTTCTTGCTCCTCTCTGTATAAAGCTTGTTACACCTCTATGCTAAAAGCAAAAAGACGTAAGAAGAATGCAGTAAGCTGCCTTCCTTGAAGCGTGATAAGGGATCTTTTTGTGGGGACCTGGTATGCGTTCCCCACAAGCTGAAGTTCAAATTTTATCACATGTGACTCTCGCAAGGTCCTAAGTTGAGCTGTGGTGGCGGCCTCCTCCCTGGAAGTGTTTAAGGCCAGGCTGGTCTAGTGGGAGGTGTCCCTGCCCATGGCAGGGGGATTGGAATGAGGTGATTGTTAAGGTCCCTTCCAAGTCAAACCATTCTGTGATTCATGAGTGGCAGCTCTGATGGTCAAAGCAGGAGGTGGGCATTAAATTGACTGTGCTGTGACAACTTCTGTGGTTTATATTGATATGCAAGGCCAAAAATTACCAGGACTGGTTTTCAGGCAGGGGAGTGGAAAGGCAGGGCTGATACAGAGTTTGTTAATGTCTTCAGCTACCTGTCTGTTCCAGCTCATTTACTCTTTTCTTCTTGCTCATGCACTTGAGTGTCACCTCTTTGTGGCCTAACAAAAACAACCACAACCCAAACTGTAATTGAATCTTAATTGAAATTCTTATACCTGATAACAATTGCATTTTCCTGCCTGGGAATTGGAATTAGAGCTGCTCAGGCTTGAAGAGTTGAGCAGGGCTGAATGAAGGTGGTTTTATGTCCCTTTGGGGTAATCTGCCTGGTCATTAGTTTTCACAGCGTTGTCTCTCTTGTGCTTGGGCCAAAACCAACTTATTCCCAAGCTCCTACATGTGCCCTTGAGGAGAACAAAGCCTTCTTGTTCAGTGTGGCTGCTCCTGCTCCTTCCTTGTGGACAGCAAGGAGCCCTGGGCTTCGGCTTCAGCAGCCATCGGGTGCTGCAGCTGCTCCTTGGCAGGCACAGCCAAGGATCAACAGGAACACGATGGGCAAGTTGCAGAAAAACATTCTGGTTTCAGTCTTTCTGACAAAGGAAAACTAACAATACAAGAAGCCACTCAGTGCTAAGCTTTGCACTTTCTTTGCAATTTTCTCCCTTTCTCCAGCCTGTTTCTACCTGATCTCAACTTAAAAAAAAAAAATTTAAAAAATCACATTTCGCACAAGCTGGAGTTATTTTCCCACTACCCTGAGGACCTGGTGGAGCTGATGGAGAAGCTGCAAAAATTTTTTCTCTGCAAGAGTTGTATTGTTGCTCTGTGAGGGGCGATGGCTTTAAACTGAAAGAAGGTAGATTTGGATTAGATGTAAGGAGTAAGTTATTCATTATAAGGGTTGTGAGGCAGTGGAACAGGTTGCCCAGAGAAGTTGTGGATGCCCCATCCCTGGAAGTGGTCAAGGCTGGGTTGGATGGGGCTTTGAGCAACCTGGTCTAGTGAGAGGTGTCTCTGCCTATAGCACGGGGGTTAGAACTAGATG